CATTTATAAATTATATATATAAAGAAAAATATTTTTACGGATATTATAATACAAACATAAATATTTAATATTTTCCGGAATTTCTTATCTCTTTCTGTATAGTAAAATATTTCTGTCGTATATATTTATGTAATGTTTTTACAAATATCTTTGTTCTTCTAGATTCAACCTCTGCACGGGGACAGTTGAAGAAACTCGTGCTCTTTGTCAAAGAATATTGGAAGATGTGTTCGTGCCCTCTCTGGCAAAAAAGAATGATCATTTCGATGAAATGGGCAACGCGATGCTACAGAGTCTCTGGCCCATCAACTTTAATATTGAACCAGTAGCATTCATGGCGTTCACATTTTATCTGGCCTCTTCAACTGCGCGCAACAATAATCATTCTATCGAAATAGGTAACTTTTCAAGTTCGAATAAATGTATTTATTTCTTTTAAATTTCGAAGAAGGATGTGACAAAATTAAAAGAAAGAAATATATAACAAAAACTCACTAAAGTATATGTGTGTGTAACAAACTTTTAATCCCCCTTCTGGGAAGGGATTTTTCGTAATTGAAAAATAAATAATTCTGATTTTGATTTCTGTGAGTGTAAGAAATGATAAATCTAATATATGTATATGATGGATACAATGCATCATTTATACAGTAAAGATAACATAAAATATATTTTCAGATACTTCGACTATGCCGTTTTACAGCTGGTACTTGTTCAATCTACAACACTTCGTGCTGAAATACTTAATGCGACCTAGTGCTTGGTGGTCCTCATTTTTCCGCCCAATTTTTAATGTTTTAATGCGTTTATCGATTTTCTTGATGGAAAAATATCCCTTCCTTGCTTATTGGACCTTCGGAAAGAAATATGCTAATGTCAATATTTTTCATTATCACTTCGACTGAATGTTTAATCGAAATAACAAGAGGACTAACGGCTTTTTATCAAATCATATCAAAATTATGAAATTCTGTTAATTACCTAGGAGTTAATTAAGTGAGTAAACTGGCAAATAAGAGCCAAGACGCGGGTATTGGTGCGTAAACTTATTATTATTAAAATATAACAATAATAAGTTTGCGCACCAATATCCGTGCCTTGGCTCTTATTTGCCAGTTTACCCACTTAATTGTTAGTACTCTAAGCCTATTGCTGAAATTCTATGTAAGAAAAAACCGTGATATGATGTGTATGTAATTAATTAATTAATGTTTTACTATATACGTATTACGTATACAGGGTAAAAATTGCTCATCGAGAAAAACGAGGTTTTCTACATACAAAGATAAAAACACAAAAAAATATATATGTCGAGTACATTCTCGGAAAAAAATAAATATTGCTTTTAAAAACTAATATAGAAGGGAAGCGCTCAAAAACGTACGTAATAAGAGAGACTCTTGTAATTATAGTAATTATAGTTATCAATATAATTATAGTAATTATAGTCATTAAGATAAATTGTGCTGTTTCTAATATAATTGCGTAATATCTAAAAAAAATGTATTCAAAACAATGTTAGTTATACTCAGTTGCAATAGTTAAAATACTTTTCACATAACACAAATGTTCAAAATATATTTTCTACGTTGTTTAAATTATAAGCCATGTTGTTATTGCTTCATATTTCTTAGTGTAGTTATTAAGATTAACAAACAAAATTATTATAATAATTTTATAAAAATAATTTTTATAAAAGAATATTGGAAGATGTGTTCGTGCCCTCTCTGGCAAAAAAGAATGATCATTTCGATGAAATGGGCAACGCGATGCTACAGAGTCTCTGGCCCATCAACTTTAATATTGAACCAGTAGCATTCATGGCGTTCACATTTTATCTGGCCTCTTCAACTGCGCGCAACAATAATCATTCTATCGAAATAGGTAACTTTTCAAGTTCGAATAAATGTATAAAATTTTTAAATTTCGAAGAAGGATGTGACAAAATTAAAAGAAAGAAATATATAACAAAAACTCACTAAAGTATATGTGTGTGTAACAAACTTTTAATCCCCCTTCTGGGAAGGGATTTTTCGTAATTGAAAAATAAATAATTCTGATTTTGATTTCTGTGAGTGTAAGAAATGATAAATCTAATATATGTATATGATGGATACAATGCATCATTTATACAGTAAAGATAACATAAAATATATTTTCAGATACTTCGACTATGCCGTTTTACAGCTGGTACTTGTTCAATCTACAACACTTCGTGCTGAAATACTTAATGCGACCTAGTGCTTGGTGGTCCTCATTTTTCCGCCCAATTTTTAATGTTTTAATGCGTTTATCGATTTTCTTGATGGAAAAATATCCCTTCCTTGCTTATTGGACCTTCGGAAAGAAATATGCTAATGTCAATATTTTTCATTATCACTTCGACTGAATGTTTAATCGAAATAACAAGAGGACTAACGGCTTTTTATCAAATCATATCAAAATTATGAAATTCTGTTAATTACCTAGGAGTTAAGTGAGTAAACTGGCAAATAAGAGCCAAGACGCGGGTATTGGTGCGTAAACTTATTATTATTAAAATATAACAATAATAAGTTTGCGCACCAATATCCGTGCCTTGGCTCTTATTTGCCAGTTTACCCACTTAATTGTTAGTACTCTAAGCCTATTGCTGAAATTCTATGTAAGAAAAAACCGTGATATGATGTGTATGTAATTAATTAATTAATGTTTTACTATATACGTATTACGTATACAGGGTAAAAATTGCTCATCGAGAAAAACGAGGTTTTCTACATACAAAGATAAAAACACAAAAAAATATATATGTCGAGTACATTCTCGGAAAAAAATAAATATTGCTTTTAAAAACTGATATAGAAGGGAAGCGCTCAAAAACGTACGTAATAAGAGAGACTCTTGTAATTATAGTAATTATAGTTATCAATATAATTATAGTAATTATAGTCATTAAGATAAATTGTGCTGTTTCTAATATAATTGCGTAATATCTAAAAAAAATGTATTCAAAACAATGTTAGTTATACTCAGTTGCAATAGTTAAAATACTTTTCACATAACACAAATGTTCAAAATATATTTTCTACGTTGTTTAAATTATAAGCCATGTTGTTATTGCTTCATATTTCTTAGTGTAGTTATTAAGATTAACAAACAAAATTATTATAATAATTTTATAAAAATAATTTTTATAAAATTTTCTATTTTGCAATATGTTTTCACGGTTTGATTCTTCAATACGAGATTATTTTACATATCTAATCAACGTCAATAAAAATTTTACGTGAAAGCTTCTAAAATTATGATCACAAGAGTTAAAAAAAATTAATTAATTAAAATTATATCTAAATTTTAGTTAAAAATTAAAGAATATTCATATATATTGCATTTTAAATATTAAAATCTCGAGATATCGATATCAGCAAAAACAACGATTATTATGTTGAACGCATTTCACCTTGTACATTTTACATTTTACGATAATAACCATATAATCATAATTATAACGACCATAAATATCTTTTTAAATTTCGGGAAATCATCTTGTTTTAACGCACGATGCCTGCTGGTAAGTGTTCTTCAACATAAAAAATTGAACTATCTTTGGTAATCTCAAAATTACTTGCTAAATTGATATTATTGCTAAGCGCTTTAAAAAATATTAAGCTATGATATTAAATGAGATATTATAAACAAGACCGAATTTACACACAACTCTTACAAAAAAATTCAATTTATCAGATTTTTGATAAATTATTTATTTTGTGTCGAATATAAAGAGAGTTTTTCTTTCTTTTAAATATTAAGATTGTTATATAAAAATTAATATAATAATAATTAAGATAATATTAATGGATAATTCAAAGTATATCTCAGAGTTTTATCAAGTCACGTTTATTATTTATTAGATTAAACCACATACGTCACCAAATAATTAGCACAGTTAACAGAATCACAATTAGAAGGATAAATAATAATTTTTTATAGATATTTTACGCTATAAATACACACAAAAGATAATATTTAAAAAAATTAATAAATTGCTTTACACATATTGTAATCATTTCCTAGGGAGAGACTTGCAAATGTGACCCATTTAAATGCCACAATAATTACGCAGAACATGTAATTGTGTCTCATCAAAACAATTTTTCTGTTTGCATACCTCTTCCGGTATACATAACAACGATGATTAATGAATGGTACACAAAACAACCACAATGCACGTCGGCAACAATTCGACATCGCGAAATAATGTTATACACAAAAACATTATTGTTAAATAGGTGAAGCTATAATTGCGTAATGAGATTATATTGATGTAAATAATTAATATAAATATAAAAAATTATAGTTCGCACACGTAAATCTTGTTTTTTATATAAAAGTATAGAAAGTATAAAATACATCACGTGTAAATTCTATAAATTTTAAGAAGTTTATATTTAAATATCTCACATATTTCCCATAAACTTTAAAAAATGTGACGAGAACAAAATATATATAATTTTTTAGTACTGCAAAACTTATTTATAAACACATTTAATTAACTTGATTAATTAATATACAGAGCACGTTCCGTACTATTTTATTTATATGCGTGAAATATTTGAAAAAAACATGTAAAAAAATTGATGTAAATTAAATAGGCACGGCGATATATGAATGACGGAAGACAATCACAGCCCGATTTATCGCAAAAATACAAATTGCACCTGCGGATGGGACGTGAAGTTCAGTTATGGCGTGGCATACACGTTGGCCGTCTTCGAGGCGAAACGTCTCCTCGTAATCGCCTTGGAGATATTCGCAGAGTGGCAGGTGATTCAATTCGCAGGTGGTTTCCAGCCGGTCGCCCTCATCTTGGCGGGAGTGACTTTGGGATTGCCATGTGCCCTTATAACAGTACGCACCATACGCAGGTAACGTTCATCTCTATTCAGTGGCGGATATAAATAAGTAAGACATATACATTTGCGGAAAATATTCGGAGTAAGACATATATATTTTCTTCCTCTATTTATATCATCTTTTATTTATTTAATATTTCACAATCCACTCATATATCTCGCGGAAAAATAAATAAGAAAGATTATTATATTACTAATTAATTATATTCTCTTTTTATAATTTTTTTATAATTTCTTGATATACAAAATTTGTGATAACAAATATTCTTACAGGCGCAATTTACCGAGTTTTCGTGTAAAGACTAAGCTAGTGCTAAAGTGTCTTTTGATAATAATAATTATGTGTACCGCTATGAACACGGCGACCTTAGCCTCAATAGGGTATCATGTCAGTGTAAGGCAGAAGACACTGGTCGACGTTTTCAACACATCAATGCGCCTGTATGTCAGTGTAGCGTCATACAAGTATGCGATCGACGAGATCCAATTCGTACTACAATGTTGTGGTCACACGTCTTATACCGACTGGTTTCTTTTCGACTGGCAGGTAAGCTTTTCATATATCTCCCTGCTTCGATCGCAGTTATCAAAGATTCACGGAACGATGATAAATAATCGATCTGTTTGATTGACCCATACTGTCGTGGTAGTTCGATATCACTTTGCTATATGATATTTTTTTCTTATTGATATTTTTAAGAATTTCAAATCATTTGATAAAATTTATAATATTTTCTTATTAATTTATAATTTTAATTTGTAATATATAATATGATATTTAAATGATATTATTTTGGATAAAAGAAAGTGGATTATGCGTCTCGGGAAGAAATGGCAGGACAAAACAGAATCTCGGACGAGGATTATAGAGATCTTGGAGTTCCTTTTAGCTGCTGTAATTTGCACGTTGTAGCACCCTGTATGCACATGCAGATGACAGATGACAAAACGATAAACGTGAACGGCTGCGCGGAAGTTATCAGCCCCATTCTTCTCAGAATCGTCATAGTCGCTTACGTCATGACTAGCACTTTAATCATTATACAAGTGTTACTGGTCTTTTTAATTACAAGAGTGCGTTATCTTACTTAATCTTATCCGCATCAAGCGCTTCCAAAACAAAGATTATATCTTATGTGCAAAAAACTATCTTAATTATTATGTACAAATTAATTATATATTTAAATATTTTATTATATATATTATTATATTTAAAAAAAAAA